CTGAATTTTTTATGTCTTTGTAGGACCAAAGCAGAGGTACTATATTTGTCAGGAAACTAGAGTCAAAACTGAGTTTGCAGCCAGAGGAAACTGGAAAAATATCAGTATCAGAGGACTGATAAGATAAGAAAGGCCAGCCAGAAAGTAAATTACAGCTTTGAATAATTGCTGTGTAAAACTACTGAATAGTAATCATTCATTACCATTACCAATTATTTTCAGCTATGAAATTACAGCCACAATTACTTGAATAAATTAATGTGACACACTTTATAGATTGCTTCTAAAAACAACCTTAAAGTTTCGGATCCTCAGTACAACCTTCCTAGATGAAAGCAAATTGAAATTAACCTGGTTCTTGATTATTCCCATGCTACACATGGCTCTGTTTTTTGTCTCATGTACTAGTAGGACTGAAGATTGTTCCTTCTGAAATACAGCTGTAACGATCAAAAGTGAGCATACGAGTTCTGAATCAATTTCAGAACCATCTGATGGATCTACAATAGCCAGAGGAAAAAAGGATTGGAAGAGAACAAAACAGCACAGTAATCTTGTACTCACACTTTATTTGCACACGCGTGCACTACTTTCCCCTACCTCCCTCCCACCCCCCAAACAGTCTTTTATCCCTGGTATATTGGCCAAACCGTACAGGGTATCTTGTTGAGTTCTGCAGGTGAAGGTCATTTTTCACTCCATCACAGCATACATCTCAGTTTGAGAGTACACTGAAGTTTATTTCTTTCAGAAAATCAGTCAACTTTAAGGCATAAGAGGAACATTTGGACTAAGTAACACACAATTCAAAAGTGCATTTATTAGTTGAAACATTTTCTTGAAAAATATGAGGCCTGGGTTCTTGACCCAAAGACACAATGAGACTCAATGTTCTTAGGCTGGAATTTAACCAGTCACAAATACAAAACTGTTCCTATCAAGTCAATTCGTAGCATGAATACACTTCACTCTTGAGAACTGGCCTCAAAAAATATTTTATGATCACATTTTAATTCATTTGTCACTTAGGAAAAACAACTCATGACATTCTTAAGGAAACAGAATTTTAGTTCACTTACTCAAAAAGCAGTTTGTACAAAACAGGACTTTTATTGTCCTTCAGCTCCAAGAAGCACCTGCTCAGACTTAAGAGAGAGAATACATTCTGAGTGTGGATGCTATCTTTGTGGTGTAGACCAGTTAGCATACAGGAAATATCACATCTTTTAAGTACTGGGAGGATTTGCAAATACTATTTCCTTGAAGCTACTGAAATACGTGTTTTATATTTCAGATGAATTAGAAAAAAACTCATTGTTGGCAGAACTGTAAAAAAAAATACTTAATGCAACTGTGCTCCTAAGAAATATATAAAGGAAAGCTGAAGCATGTCGTTTATAAAATAGCCTGTATTCCAGACCTAAAAAATAATTCACAAAGAAGTGTGTTCTTATTTAGAGTACAGATACACAACTCTTCAGGATTCAGAGATTAATGATAAATAAAAGGACTAGTTAACTTAATACCACCCTTTCCAGTGTTTTATTAATAATACTCTTGCTACAAATGTGCATTAGAACTCACAATGATGCTCTCCAGATGTCTTTTTGCTGGTCAGAAAAGAAAATGCTAACTCAAAAAGATTTTTTGCAATAAAAGCAACATGTAAAATAAAACAGACAAAAAGAGCATAGAAGAAGAATTACATATCAATGTGGGGGGAAGCAATTAACTTGAAAAATTTACAACTGAAAATTAAAACATAGTTTGGCTAAGTTTGTTCCTTCGTAACTGTAATTAAAAAGAACTGCTTGTCTTACAGAAGCAATAAAACAAAATGTCTGCTTAGCAAATGACCTCTAACTTGCAAAAAAAAAAAAAATGCAGTTATGAATTGAAATAATATTTTGGAAGAAACTAGATTTATTCCAATTTCTACCCTTTCTGTGCATCCTTCTGCATTCTTGAGTCTTTGAATCACTTTGAAGTGCACTAACAGAACATTTGCACAGAATACTCGCTGTACCATCTTATATACCATGTGTTGTAGCATAAAAGTTACAATTCAGAAGCTGATTTTGCAAGGCAGTGTCAGGACAGGCTGCAGGTTTCCCAATTTCTGTGGATCCGGTGTTTTAACTTCCCTATAGATAAGGTATTAAGGAACTGTTAAGAAACATTTCTTCTCTGATGCTGAAGAAGCAGCTGTAGGCTCTCCAGCTGTTCTGGCCTTGGTTTATAGTAATGCTTTTTTTTAACCCAAGTTTGGCAGAGGCAGTGGTCTGATTAGTAATTCTTCCATGACATTTCATTTATAAAAGGTTGTGAGGAAGGGTATTTTTCTGCACATTCTGAACAGGCACATCACTATCTGGGTGTGGAGCTAGTACTACACGAAGGCCCCAAGAGCCTAGTCCAATTCTTTTGTGTGGATATAACTCCAGACTTTTAGCCAAAGAACTTCATTCGGATGGCAGCAAAGCTTGGCTTCAGATACTGAAGGGGAGCGTCATAAGGATGCTGAAGCATACATATTTGACATAGATGAGGGTTTCAGCCCAGAAAGATTGAACAGAGAAGAGTAAAACCTTGCTCTTAAGACATGTTTTGTGCCTTCCCAGGCTGCCATGTCAAAGAATCTTTCAATGATCATGAGTTTATGCAAATCCAGCGTGTATTAAGACAGTATGAGGCATGTCCTCACTGCTGTATAATGTGGCCCCATGTCCAGTTTCAGTCATCTGACCTAAACTGTGCAGTAGAGTGCCTAATATTGCAATCCTTCTGCCACAAGAACCCTTACTCAGTTTCTCACTAGATGTCTTTTCGAGTGTATATACTCAATTTTTGAGTTATATCACTTAATTTTTAACACAAATTATATTAACGTTATGATAGATAAATTTTATATTGTTGCGTTGTTATTATTTTGGCTCAAACTCTTTATATATATAACTTAAATGTGGAATTGAAGCTGTGAAGTTCTTTGAACTCCCAAGAGCAATTAAAGGTGATTACTTATTTGGAGCTGAAAGTAATGCAGTAGAAAGCCTTTTGCCTAAGAATACAACAAATTTCAGTTACAAATAAATGCATATTGTCTTCTCTTCAACTGTCAGCCTAGCAGTAATCTAAGGCATCATCAGTAAGTATTGCTGGCAATAAGTTAGAATTTGGAAGCTTACATTTGCAAAAATCCTGCATAGAATTTCTTTCAAAGAAATATTTCAATATAAAAGTTTCATCTTTTCCTTATTTGAAGTTTTATTCCATTCTATTATTAATTGGGCTTACATTTTCATTTGCCTGTATTTTTAGTTCTGAATTATTGGATAGCTTACATAATGTTGTCTGAGTACATGTTTTATGATGAATTTTTAAAAATATTGAATATGCTACATTATGTTGCTTTTAAGGATTTATATAGTATCTGGGTTTTATGTTTTTCAAATTTACCCAACCATAGAATGAAATTACTATGTGTATGTTGAAAAGACTACTGCTTATGTTATCTTTAATATCTGGCTTGTCAATGGTATCTAAATTCTGGTTTATTTATGCAGACATCGTTCATATAATGAACAGTCATGGTGAACACTAATAGTCTACAGTGATAATTCCAAGGAACTCCATTATTAAATGTGACAAATTGCTTGAACACTTAATGGAGAACAGTTCTGTACTGATAAGAGGATGGATGGACTTGCATCAGAGTGTGTTCTCTCCTCTATTCTGTGATTCATTACTGGATAAAATGAGTTGCCCTTGAGTCTTTTTTGGCCTGTGCTACCAGCTGTAATCCAATTCAAAACATTTTTGTGGTCTCGGCTCAATACGTTACTCAAAGGAAACAATTTTAGTAGAGACTTTGGGAGCTTACTGCTTGTGGTAATATACTTGAGGAGGGGGGAAGAAATGGGAATGGTTATTTCTTATGGAGTGGTAGGTATCTAGAGAAGTAATTTGAAAATCATATATTGATTCTGGAAATTAGGAGGGTTTGTTTGAAATCATTGTATAAAAGTCGCTCTCTCTACAAAACTGAAATGTTTATGTATACCTATTTGTGCATGTACATGTAGCTGCAAGTAATTCTTAGCTAAGGTATTCAAAACATCTTCTTACATATATTTTTGATGACCCTGTTATGTTTGGTTATGTATGTATGTGATACTGCTAAAATTCATGTTCTGTCCTACGTTTTTGAGTGCTGGAGGTTTTCATGGTTGTTGGTGATGACCAAAGGATACTTCTTCCTCTTCTGACTTTGCTAATTCTTAAAAAGCTTATTTAATGTCTGTATGGGTAAACACTCCTACTTTAAACATAATCTATGGAGGGTATTGCAGAGGAAGGAGGGTTGCTTTTTAAGGTATCTCAGAATTGCTGATTTAAGGATTGCTATACTCTGAGTATACCTTGTGTGTTATATTACTCAGACAATTTTATTCACTAGACAAGATTTAAGAGTGAAAGAACACTTAGAAACCCAAAAGCTACACTATCAAAGTAAAATTCTTAAAATTATACTTTACAATAAATATACTCTCATCTGCAACATCTCAGCTAATTTCTGCCTTTCTTTTGGAAGAAACTGGAATAATTTTACATTACAGGGTTTTTTTGTTGAAGGTAAGCTGCCTTTTCCTTTCCACCTGATCAGAAGGAAAAGGCAGAATGTAAAATACTACCCTTTTTTCTTTGGCATCCCAGACTGGAAATCCTTTGCTTTTGTTTTTGCTAATGAAAAGTTACATTCCTGTCTTTTACTGTATTGGATGCTTTGATACCAAACATGATGAAGAGTTTTCTTTCCTTCCTTGTCCTCAGAGTTTAATATGTCTAGTACATGTGTTAATCAGTGCAGTCTCTTCCCCAGCTGATACTGAAATTATGAAACAGTTTAGTCCTATTAATAGAACAGTTTCTAATTTAAGGTTTTTTTCGAATGGGAAACTTTTTCAGATTTTTGATGTTTCTTGTCTCTTTCCTATCTCTAGACAACAAGGACACTAGTTATGACAAGTATGTCTCCTGAGTAAGTATTAAATATTTTGACTCTTTAGTCAGCATGCATTTTACACTTAAATGTTAATAATCTTTTTGTGCCTATACAAAATTAATTTTATCTTTATGCCGTATGTTAAAATGCTTTATTTCATTCTGTATTCTAGCTAGAAGAAAGTATATAAATGTATAGGTCGTTGCTAACTATGCTCTGAGTATATGTTTGTGTTGCTACAGTGCTGACTGAAGTAGTTATTCCATAGCTGAGCAAAATGGGGCTTCAGAGCAGTGAGACTAAAATCTTAAGCAAGTATTGAATTTTTCTGAAGGAAGTGTAAAAAGGAATTTTATGTATTAAGTGGTTCAGTCTTTCAGCCCAAGACTTAGCTTTTCCCCATACATTTTAATTAGTTCTATTTAAGAAGTCATAACTTTTTGAACTGATGTTTCAGATTTTCTTTAATATAAATAAATGCTGAAGAAATACCATTGTAGTCTTTTTAGCCACTTAGTTTCAAAACATTAGAAGCAGCTGCCACTGCATATTTTAGGGGAGAGTTAATAATTTTCTGGCATGATCTTATCATTCTCTTAAAAGTCTTACAGCATAAAGAACATCCAACAAAAACACAATTCCATATTTTATACTACACTTGCTTACAGTTTTTTGAATTGTTTTTCAAAACTCAAGATATTTCTACTACCCACAAATCTGTTTCAGGTTTGAAGTAATTAAATCCTGACAGTTACACAGATAGAAGTACTCAGAAACAGCACTCAGTGGCTATCCTTTTAGAAGTTCTTTGTAAATGATTGTCAATAGCTACTAACAAGTATACTAATATATGACAGAAACATTAAACAGAATTAATACTTTTCTTGTATTTAATGTGACTGTATGCTAGTAACACTAAGACTTTGGCTGTCATGCCAAACAGGATCCCTGTGGGGGAGGTAAAGATACAGTGCAGATAGAAGTTGTGGAAAACAGGCTGCGATCTGCCTAAAAGAGAACAAATCCTGGCAGAGCTGGGGAAAAAGCTCTCTTGTTGAAAGAGGTCATTAGTATATTATTTCTTTTACGTTGCTTGTATGTTGATTTTTACCACTAGGCAATTAATATTTCATCAAATTTAAAAAAAAAAATCATCTAGTGGTAATAATTGCTTTTCTTCACAACTTCTACAAGACTGTGTTTTTGGCTGTCTACAGTTGTAGGCACTCATCAACCTGTAAATGGGTGAAGGGAAAAGGACTGCTTCAGAAAGAACTAAAGAACAGAAAATAGTTCTCCAAAGTACAATCCAGTGGCCAAAAGCCAATTTTACTACCCAGTAGCTGCAACCTCAAAAGTAGTTCATTAGAATTTAAATTTAAAGATCACGAGTTCAGTGGTTTCATGGCATGGGGTTTTGAGATTATATGCTGCTCACTGTTTCACAGCCAGAAGTTACCTGTTTTTCTGAATTACAAATTCAGTGCAATTTTGCTGCAAATTTGCATCTGTCAGTTTTTGCAGCTGACTGAAGTATAAACTGATGAGTTTTCATTGTAATTTATAAGGTATCTTAGATTCAGTTCTTGTACAACAGGACTTTCTCATCTCATTGTAAGGAATTTTGGGTAGACACAAGAAAGAACTAAGAAAATGTTCAGGTAGATCATGGAAATGTATCCCCTGAGCATGCAGTCTAGGCAGGGCCATCCCCTATGGGTTGCAGTGTTGCAAAAACATTCAGTTGTAGGCTATGTCAAGTTAAAACTCATAAAATCGAAAGGGAATAGTAAATATTCTAGTAACATTCAAAGCCATACAGCCAATGCCAAAATTCACACTGTAGTGAGGGTGAGCGGTTTGATTTCTTTTTTTTTTAGTGTCTTCACATACAATATCACCTTTTGACTTAAGCATAAAGTTAATACCCTAAACCATTTTTACAATTAATGTATTTCTTTGAAACTTCTTACAAAATAGATTGCTTCATTCTCTGTGAAGAATTTTTTTGAGTTTTCCTGGAGTTCTTTTTAGAGTTCCTTGAAGTAATATTTCTTGTAGCTGGGGTATTTGGGGAATTTTAACTGAGTTACTTTCTTTGGCGTGAAATGTAGTGAGAATGAAGTAACCCCAGAGGCTTCTGGAGATGTTTTGAGTGCACTCACTTTACGTCAGTGATTACCTTCAAATGTTTTACCTGTGGGGATCACCGTTTTGATAGATGTGACTATGTTCAAGGTTGTGCTTAACTGTTTTATCTTGTGTAGCATGCCATGGGCATTTCCAAGTCAGCTGGGAGGAGTAGAGAGGGCAGTGGAACTTGGCTTTCATTTACAGATCTTTTATGATCATTTATATTAATGATTTATAATAATAAACATTAGTAAGAACAGTAAATTGTTTTCATGCAACAGCTTTTCTCTAGTGATACCACGAATCCACTGTTTTCACGATGATATATTTATATGCTTCGGCATAGCTACGTAGAGAACTCCAATTAAGTGGCCATTCTGGATTTTATATATTTAATTATAATTGTATTTAAGGATAAGTGAATTTTTAATTGAAACATTGGCTTAGATGTATAGGTAGCAAGCCAGAGCTTTAGGACTTCTCTGTAAATTTAGATGCAGCATTTTATTCAGATGCTGAAAATCTGGTGCTTCCTAATAAAAACCTCTTAAGAGTGCTGTGTCTAATTGTTTACATTTCCTGGTAATACTTTTCTGATAGTACTACAAAAGCAACCAAGAATGAGGCTCTGTTGTACTAGGCATTGTACACAAACAATATGTTAGATAATTCCTGACTCAAAAGCTTCTTAAAACAGCTTCTTTAAAACAGCTTCTTTAAACAGACAAGATAGATGTGGGGGACAAAAGAGCTTTGATGTGCAAGTAGATATGATTGTGTGATGACAAGAAAGGGTCTGTTTGGCCTCTGTGGGGAAGTTAATGAATTTAGGGCTAGCAAATAGGTTAGAGGCTTAGTGAGAAAAGGGTAAGAAATGATTAGTGAGGAAAGAAATTAGGTGAGTTGGAGTTAATTGGAGTTGTGTGTATATGCTTTTATAATATCCATTCAAGAACGTACAGCTTTTTCCTTTTCTTCTTTTTAGGAAGCAAAATATAGTAATTGAGGTGGTGAATAAACTGGGAGACTTTTTGTTCTCAGATGATGTATGTGAAACAACAAGTCATGTAGTTACAGGGAGTCCTCGTCGTACCTTGAACGTTATGCTGGGAATTGCTCGTGGGTGTTGGATTGTTTCTTATGAATGGGTAAGAAATATTTTTTTACTTTTACTGCAAAATAAATTGAACATATTTTGTGTAGGTGAAATATCAACCATATAACCGTGTGTGTCCATGCTATGTTCAGTGGTGCAATGTTCACATATTCAGGCTTACCTAGAATTTGTTCAGTTAGAGGAAATTTGCCTGCGTGAAGCTCTGTTACTAGAACTTACAGTGTTTCAGTACTTCATCTAACCCCAAAGTATTCCTGTATTGTGCCTCGGTTTGTGTTTTAGAAATGCCTGAAGTCTCATCTCATGGTTGAGAAACTCATGTCACATGCATTCTTTTTGGACAGATTAAAAGCTAAACAAACCATTTCTGCTCAACGTTAGCCAAGTCACATTATTCAGTTTGAATTTTTTATATACTGATTTAATATATTTCTGTTGTGTTCTGGAAAACATATTGTGTTCAAGGGAAACAAGGGAATGAAGGGAAATTATTAAATATTTTTGCTGCATAGTAGAAAAACTGTAAAATAGGAAAAAAAAAGGAAAGCTATTTGCAGATGAGTAGTTTGGAGACTTTAGAATTTAAAGAAATGGTTCCTAGTCATACAGATCAAATAATCACTGTATTTCCTCAAAATTTCTTGTAGACTACCATGTAAAGTTACCAGACTGTTACTGTAAAGACAAAATAATCATGACTTGCTGTAGTGGGTCTCGCTGGTATGGAGATAATTTTCTTCATTGCAGCCTGTATCGTGGTGTGTTTTAGACTGGTGACCAAAATGGTGTTGATAACACATCAGTGTTTTAGCTATTGCTGAAGAGTGCTTATATAACATCAGGGTGTTCTCTGCTTCTCACACTGGCCACCCAGCAAGTGGGCTGGGGGTACACAAGAAGTTGTGAGGGTTGAGAGGTCTCACACTGACCCCAACTGACCAAAGAGATTGTTCCATACCATATGAGGTCACACTCAGATATAAAACTGGTTAGGAGTTTTTGCAAAGCAGCCATTGCTTGTAGACTGGCTGGGCATTGATCTGGTGTTGGGAGTGATTACTTTTACATCCCTTGGTGTTTTTTTAACTCTTTTTTTTTTCCCCCCTTCCCTTATTAATTGTCACCATCTTAACCTGCAGGTTATTGAGGTTTTTTCTTGCGTTTGTCCATCCACTTCTCTTCCCCATCCTGCTGGAGCAAGGAGTGAGCAGTGGCTGGGGAGTTTACCTGTCAGCCCAGGATTAAACCACCTCAATTGTTCACTGTGATAATAGAGATTAACCACTCAATTGGCCATTGCTGATGACAGTTTTTTCAGCTTTTCTCATGTTTCCAGAGATATAAAACATAGCTGTTGGAATTTACATGGAAATAGCTCACCATATTATACAGAAAAGGGTTGTAGAATAACTTCAAATTTCTTCATTTCCTGTTTCTTATAAATACCTTAAAATTTAATTGTTGAGCTGAAAACAAAATAAACTACCTATTGACTTTTTGTTTTCAAGATGTCTGGCACTTAGAAGTGTAAAGTTTGTCCTACATGAAATACATGTCATTATCTGAAGAAACTGTTATGGTATACTTGGAGGATTTCAGAAGTTCTTGGTGATTAACTTCTGTTGAAATAAGTTTGCATCTTTGGTCACCTTACTGATCCAGTAATGTGCTTTTGTGGAAAAAAAAAAAAAAGATGAATAGTATTCTTTGTTGCATTAAGAGGAACATATTTGAGCAGAGCATTTGGACAAGGCAATCTCTACAGGTCCATTTCAGCCTCAACTATTATGATTCTATGTGTCTATGAATAAAATGCATTGAAATACCTGTCCCACACTTAGTTTCGTATGGAGTTTTAAACAGTAGCAACATATTTGCTGTAAGTTACTTTCTCATAACAGGAAGTCAAATCCGAAAACTATACGTTTCGTTGAGAAAAAGCTTTAAATATCTACATCTTTAGTTATCTTTGCAGTTAACTACCACAAAAATTGATTAGAATAGCTTCCTATCTTTATACATAAGTATTTTGATAATCAGTGTTCTGGCAATTGCTGTCCTGGAATTTCATTGCTCATTTTATGCACTGCCATTTTATGAATTAATGCATGGTGAAAACATCAACACGTGCTCTTCACTAGACCATTGGCAATGCCAAATATCTTCTGTTGTCTTATGGGTTACCGTTTAGACTCAACACAGGATCATCTACCAAGACGTTAAATGGAACTGTTCCAAAGATCAAATGCTGAAGTTGTCTTTACTCATTTTACTGAGCTGCTATTTAGACAAAATTCTTAAGTTACTAGGAGAGCCGCATGAGAACTGGAACTAGAAAAAAAACTTCAGAATTCAGTTCTCCAAATCACGTATTTATTCATTCTATAATAAATGTTTATCTATGAGTATTGCTATTCTTAATTTTCTTAGTACTGTGCTTGATTTTTCACTGCAGCTGGGTACAACTTTGTCCATAAATGTCTAATACCTCAAGTAATTAAGTCATTTATTTCACTGAAAGAAAATATTGCTTTGAACTTTTTTAAAAAGTTTCATAATCTGGTTAAATATATACAGTTTATCACAGAAGAGAGTTCTTGTCTATATAACAGTGTCCCTGGCATAATTTTGCCATCTTTTTACCCAAATAAGTTTCTTGAATGCTTTACCCTGAGAAAAGAATGCTGAAGCCTTACTTAACTAGAATGAGGAATTCTGTAGAAAATCAGTCAGGAGAATTCCATTTAGGCAAAATAACATTTTCCTTTTATTAATGCTCTAATACTGAACCCTTTAAATGCATTTATAAACTACCTGAAGTACTTCCATTGGTAAAATACTTCAAATTGCGTACTTAAAATGATCAATAAATCTGTTTAGAGAAATCATTAGTACTTTTTAAACAAGGCTTTAAATTTGAAGAGTGATGATTGTCTCCTGGAAGATGTTGCTTAACATTTTAAGACGCTGAAGTATTATTTACCACTGCCTTTTGACGTGTGACGTGGAGAGAATTTAGGATGCACTTTTTTTTTTCTTCTGAGAAAAATGTAAAATTATCTTTTTAAAGATGGATGTTGGAGAAATATCAAATTTACCACTGGGCATTTAATATTCATAGCACGCCCTTTACGTATCTTTCAGTCTGACGTATTAAAGCATAAATACCATATGAGCATTCAGCATGCTAACTGGATGGGTAAGAGGCCTTAAGTAACGACTAGTCAGTGTGTTTTCAGACCCTTAAGATCTTTGGCATAAATTTGCTATGTAGTGTGAACAAAAGAACATGGCTGGTATGGATATGCAAAGGAAAGCTTCACAGCAAGGCTAACCTTACAGCTGTGTAACCTGCAGGACGCCTGCTGGAACTCCATGCATACAGCTTGCCTGTTACTGCATTACATAAAATAGTCCATACTTGAGGGTGAAGTAACAGAAGATTGATCAACATGAGTCTGGAATCCAAATCATTATTTAAGCCTGTAAAAGGTCCATAGAAAAAATGTGCTGTTCACACTCTCTTCTTCCCTCTCTAATTCCTCCTTTCCTACATTCTCCATGATCGTTCTACAGGATCCAGGACATATGTAATGTCTCAGTGTTATCAGCTGTATTGTCCTGACTGCGGATATTCCTTTATCCAGCATTCCTGATCTGCACTGCTTTAAGTTAATCTTCTTTTGCAGCTGTGCATTTGAGAACTTAGATAGCTCTTTCTTCTCAATATAAGCACTTCTATACTCTGCAATATTTAATCTTTTCTTAGTCCTTTTCCACATTCTAAGAAAGTGTTGAATATGAAGATATTACTGATATAAAAAGTAGTTTACTCGAGAATAATATTGCAAATCAGAACTTGGTTTTGTCCTGCATGAATTTGAAGCATTTTTTTAGTGTTGCCATGCAAATTTACTAGTTGTAAATTTGTCTCTGCCAAAGTCAGAACTAAACCTTCAGTTACTTCGAATGGAGACCTCTTGTCATTGTGTTCATGAAAACAATGTTTTAGTGAGTGGTGACCTAATTATTTACTGCAGGACCTGTTCATGAACTCTGCATCTAATTTTCTTTTTGTCTAGAAGAGTAGATATGATGACATTGTACTCAGTTCCAGAGCCATGATAGACAGGCATTAATCCATCTTTTGTTAAGATAAACAAAATACATTTCTAAACAAAATTCTGTAAATACTACAAGGATTGATAGAGGTTCTTACTCTAAAATTGGCCTGAAAATGAAATGGGGTTGCTTAATCATAACTAATCTATTGGGTTTGTTTTAATCTATTTGGATTGTTTGCCAGTTACTCTTGGTATAAGCATCATTTTGGTGCTGTAAGGACATGATGTACACATTATATGGCATGGTACATCTGTTCCTGCTCAAGATTATTTACGAAGAAATTATTTTCATGCAGCATGTCTCTAAGAACTGTATTAGAAGTTAAAATTTTCTTGGTTGAGTTAAAGTTGATTTATACTGTGATTAAAAGAGAAATTACTTGGATCAACAAGTTTCTTTTATTTGCAATAAATATATACAGCTATGAGTACCAAGCTAACAGATTTCAATATTTTTGTTCTAAATAGTAAAAAGTAATTGTAAAAAATGTACACAGCACATTAAAATTTATAACTTAAAATCCTAAGTTGCATTCTTAACGATATGTTTTTAAGAAGTTACTATACTTTTTTTTGGCTGAATCCAGCAATGCATGATTACATTTTGAAATTTTTTTAAGTTAATTGATTTATTAATGTGCTTAACTCTTACTTTTAGGTTTCGTATGATCTCATGACTACAGAAATTATTTTCTTATTTATACAACTGATGCATTTTCAAGTACTTAGCTGAGCATTTTCTAAAAGTACACATAGTATGCTTTGGATTTTTGTAATAACGTTCAATAAGTTTGAAGATGTGCTGGTTTTAATTATCAATGAAAAATCATTATTCACTTCCTATAGCCTGCAAAATCATACACGTCCCCTCACAAGTGAAACACCACTTGCCACACCATGCAAAGCACCAGGTTTTGCAGTTCTTGTAAGTGGTTGCTGGTTACCCTGAAAGTCCTCAAGGATAAGCTGCTTCGGACTAAAGACTACAGAACTTGGTTTTGATAAAACACTGCTTTCTAAATTGAGTTTACAAATTGCTTCTTGTAGCACCAGATTTTGGACACAAGACCCTTTACAGGAAGTTATTTTCCTACATAGAATTAGGCAATCTTTTAAGATTTATGTTACTGGTTTATAATCAGTCTGTTCAGCTTAGAATCTTCTTTAGTTAGTGACCTATAATATTGTAAAGGATAATGTTATCATGCTTAATATCTGTTTTGCCAAATTTTGTCTAAGGGCAACATCTCGTAGCACTGCTTCCCAAATTTTATGAGGGTTTTATAATTTAAATGAAAACTGGTAATATATGGATTTGTACAGCATCTTCTTCCAATAGCATAAAAAATATGGAGTATTTCAGTTACCTGTGAATGAAACATGGGAATAATTTCACACACCGATGAAATTCAGCTTGTTCTGAGGTGAATAATGACAACATTTTAATGGTGTATGGCTGTGCTAACAGTAAGAAACAGACATCAGCTATTTCAAATGGCTAGAGAGCTATTTAGGGAAAATGTGATTGCCAAAGGTAGAATTATCCTAAATACCAGGATTTACTTTCTAATAAATTCCATACATCCCATTTTGGGGGTATAGGCATGCTGCTTCTTCACTTAATGCTACATGTTGCTGTAGAAGCAGCAGGATATTGGGGGTTACTGTGTTTTTTAAGGTTGTGTGTATGAATCGTGCTGCCTCACAGGTGGGTAAGTGGGTTTTTTGACTCTTATTTAAGGTTTGCCCTATGGCAACTACAGGAAGGATGTTGTGAAGCTCAAATACCTGTAAAAGGTGAAAGTTGTTGATTTGTGTGACAGTGGACAAACTTGGCAAAGAACTTAGCAGTCTTTGTCAACTTACAGTTGCCTATATGAGAAGCTTTATGGCTCAGCTCACACTGGTGAAGCCAATGAGAAAAATAAACTCTTCCACCTGAGTGTGCTTCAGAATTTAGACTATCTAGAAATTAATAGGAAAACACCCTTTATATGACTCAAGGACAGAGCAAGGGTAGGAACTTCAGTCTTTTTCCATTTTCCCATGAAGGTGATGTTTTTAACACTTGAGGGATACTCTGAACACTCTTTGTGAGGCTTTTAGTATTATAGTCTACAGGCTGCAGTGATAAATTGTTTTGAAAAACTGTTTGGAAAATCAACCCTGTAAAAAATGATGGGTGGAATAGTTTTGGGAAAATTTTACCCCAAAAAATATTAATAATAGAAAATATAACCATTAGAAGTAGGTTTTTTTTCTGTTAACTATTTCGTAATAACCTTGATGGGAACAAAAGTCTGAAACTTGTTCAAGGTGTCAGAATTGCTAGTCTCCAAGAATCATATTGATCCAGTTTTAGCTCAGTTGAACAAAAAAGATCATGTATTTCCCAGGGAGTAAGTACTCTGCACATTTACCAACTTTTTTCTGCTGCTCTAGGATGTGCAGTTGTCAGAGGAGGATACCAAAGAGAATTAAACACAGCTTTTCTTCTTTGCAGACTGATTCACATATGTCATACGGATTATATACAATAGTTTCATAATCCCGGTCAGTAGTAGGGGCTGATACTGGTCAAATATTGTTCAACATCTTCATTTATGAGCTGAATGATGGGGAAGAGTGCACCCTCAGACAGTTTGTAGGTGTTTCAAAACTGTGAGGAGTGTTTGATACACCAGATGGGTTTTTCTGTTCAGAGGGACCTTGTCAGACTGGAGAAATGGGCCAACAGGAACCTCCTGATGATGAACTGAAGCAAAAGAACAAAACTGATATAGTATGACTTCCCTTTTCAAATCTTTACTTTTATGTATTATGGTGCAAAAGCCTTTTCTAATATCCTCACAAGGTTTGGAAATTTGATGTAACTATGCCTAGAAATATGACTGGTATTTTAATGGTTTGTTTGTACCTGAGTGCTTGCTTTTACAGATAATCGTTGGGTTTGGGTTAATGAAATACCAAGCCAACTATTGTAACAGCACTTTTACTTCTAATTGCCTGTTCAAAGGGTTTGCTATTTTAGAAATGACAAAGAGTTCTTCTTATTGCTTAATTTATTTTAGGTTCTGTGGTCTTTGGAATTGGGTCACTGGATCTCAGAGGAACCATATGAGCTTTCATCCAGCTTCCCTGCAGCTCCTGTAAGTTTAATAGCCCTTTAATCTTGTAAACTTTGTTTATCTGGAAAATGACTGGCCTTCTAAATAGGTGTTGTACACCAGAAAGCCTACTTGAAAAAAAATTAAATACTGTAAAGAGTTATTTTCTCCTTTGTCCACTACATTTTGAAGTATGTGCAAAACCATTGGTGTAGATGGAAAATGCAAAAAATTGATTCACCAATTAGTGTCTGAATAAACTAGGTCATTATTTAAGTATAAACATCCTTTAATTTATTTGTGGCATATTTTATTTCTATCTGTGCTGGTATGTATACTGGAGAGGCATGTTATTGCCTAGTGGAAAGATTTTTTAGGTCATGGACTCACTATTTTCAGTCCAGAAATTACTTTAGCAATGAAAAATTACCGTGGACGTCTAAACTACTAAGTAGGTAAAATGAAGCATTTTTCCTGCCTTTAATGATCATTCTGAAGTATTGAATTGTGAACTAGTACAGAAGTGTGTATATGGGGGCATGGTGTGCAGATTCATGTGTTGTAATTGATTGAACAGTAATTTTATTTTGGTTTTAAACCAAGTGGAATTCTAGCAGGTTACTAGTCACTCACTAATGGTTTTGCGATTTTTTTTTTACCGTAGCAGCTAATTAAATACATTATCATCTGCTACTTGTTTCTCAAAGTTTCATACAGGCTTTAAAGAAAGAACACTAATGGGGTTTCAACTTTATTTAAGAGCTTATTTTTAACAGTCTTTCTAAATCTGTAGCTTATGTAAATTTACATGTTCAAGATGAAGACTTTGTTTCATTAATTTAAGTTGTGTGTTCGCAGTGAACTCTAAGTTATTCTGAAATAAACCCGAAGAAATTAATCATCCATCTATTATAATGAAGCATTTTTTTCTCAAATGAGAAAGGTGAGGGGTTTTTTTTACATAGCAAATATATTAACAGAATAAATAAGAAGTAGGTTCTTTCCCCCGTCCTTTTGTGTATTGGTATGGAAAAAAGAACACACTACTTCAGATTAAGCTGTATTGAGTTTTCTGTTTCTTCTCAGACTACCTTCTTTAATAACCAAGTCTGTTATCAGTAACAACTTACATAGCATTCCTTGGAAGTGATTTCCGCTGGGCTTGCTTTTTAGATTGTGTTTAGAGTTTTTATTCCTAAGGCAGAAGTAAGGAGGGCTTGAGAGAGAGTGAAAAGATAAAATTGAAGGAGGTTATGGTTGTTCTGAGACCCTGCATTGCTTCTGTTTGCAGCGTGGTCCTCTTGTAGAGGAACAAAGTCAGTGTCCAAGGTGATATTTCCATCACCTTTCTGATCGTTCCCTTCTTCAGTCATTCTGGTTTCTTAATGTAATAGATATCTTATTCCTAAAGATATGATTATTATTTGAGCATTTGCTTTTTTTCTTTTTTTATGCTTTCTAAGAAGTATTTCGAGAAAATGGAAGGGCATTCAATTTTTATGTACTGTTTATTTGATTATACGAATGAATTAAGAGAACAAGTTATCTTGCTGTTGTGTTCTAATTGTTTGTACCAAGTCCAAAGCAGTCTTTGTCCTATTGTTGCATTCCTTCCAAAATGTCCTCCTCTCACTTCATTTTGGTGTTTGCAGTTTAAGCCATGCAATCTAATTTACATTAAATGTCATTTTAAAACATTTGCTTTAAAATTTTACATTCATGTTGATATATTACTCCATTTTCCAAAAAATGAAAGTCTTATTAAATAATTGATCTGTTCAATGTCTATGACAGTATCTTCAATCACTTTCCCAGAACAGTCATCAAAAAGCTTTTTGCTTTATACTTTATCCAGCAAATCGAAAATACCCATGCAATATTTAATTATTCTTGTCATATAGTGTTTTCTTACTAAAATAATGAAGGTTAATGTTATCCAGAAGTTAGCACTATTTTCTTTTGCCAGGTTGAGCATTCATACTGTGCCAGATTCCATCATGGTTTCTAAGAACCTTTTGGTTTTTTAGATTATTGGGCTGGATATGCTTGCTGTCTCAAATATTGGGAGTATTTTCTTTAGTTGTCTGATTAAATACAGTGAAGCAGGAAATACAGTAATATAGACTCAGCATTACTATTAAATTTCATAGAATCACAAAATATTTCAGATTAAAAAGGACCTCTGAAGGTTTTTTAGTTAATGCCCTGCTCCAATACACTTGTACAGTCCACCCTCATGGTAATAAATAAATAAATTAAAAATAAAATCCAACTGTCTACGTGGCATTTCCACAATTCCAACTTCTGTTGCTGCATCTTGGCCCCGTATCTTGTCCCATTGAGGTGTACCTCCAAGAAGGGTCAGGCACTGTCTTCCCTGTGTCCTTGATAAGGTAATTGTAGGTAACAGTAAGGTCTCCCTTCTCCTTCTCTTCTCCAGGCTGAAAGGCCAGCTGTCTCGGCTTCTCTTGGGTATGTCATGTGCTTCTTGTCATGCCTAGCTCGGTCACTAGTTTGTCGCCCTCTGCTAGACTTACTCTTTTAAGACATTTCTTAGAAATTCATGAAAGCAGTTTTCTGAAGTACTTTTTTTCAGTTTGAGATATGTTTATCCTTACAAGTTTGCTAGGAGAAACAATAAAATACTTAACAGTAAACTTAAACACGTTCAGATTTTTTTATGCAGGTCTTCAGATGATGACTGTTAATTTACATTCATTCAGTTTATTTAAAATCGGATCATGAAGTAATATTACAAGTATTTTTTGTCTCCACTACCCTTTAGTAACGCTCACGTATTTTCAGAGAAAAATGGTTGTGGTTTTTGCGGTGGTGTACTCTGACAGCAGCTTTAATGACTGTCAGTATGAAACAAAGAGTTTTCTTCCATCTTTCTCAAAATCATTTACTTTTTTTAAGATACAATAGCTTTGATTAAGTAAGCCTCCAGAAATGTTGTGTCTGGGGGTTTTATTTTGTTTTGGTATGAGATACGTTCTTGTTTTGTAACTGATCTGGTCATCTGCTGAAGATTAAAAATTTACAGATTATTACTTGAAGACAAAGGCTAAGCGTGAGAATTTAAACCTAAAGTTAATTCGGGGAAAAATCTGCATAAAATTATTTTGTGTGATTAATGAAGAAGTATCTTCTCAGGCTGAACTGCAGTGTATAGTACACAACTGTAAAGCATACAGTAATTAAGAAAAAAAGGCAAAAATCACCCAGTAGAGTAATTTATTCACATTGCATCATACATCGAGGGCCTACCTACAGAGAATTTCTAGGGAGAAGTCCTAACCTGACTGAAAAAACCCAACAGTATGACCTTAGAAAACTTTCAGCTTTTTTTTTTTTCTGTTTTTAAAATATAGTAATTTGTATCTTAACTGCATAAATTTAATTGTATCAAAGAACATGCATATGTTTTTCAGTTAGGTTATTTTTACAAAACGTATAGATGTACTACAGCACCAGGTGATAACTGATTGTCATAGACAGCCGCACATCTGGTGTTAATGCCGTTGTCTCGGTTTATAAAATACTGATCAGTTATTTGACAGGTAAATGACAAGGAAAGGAAGAAGTGCAACCTTCATAAAAATATAAACACACACATACTATATTATAATTTGCAGGGATTTTTGTAACTTAAAGATAGTGACTGTAATAAGTACAAACTGAAAGAAATGGTGATTTTTGTACAAGGTATTTCCCAAGAATAAATGCAAAGTACTTAAAATGCTATTGTCCTCTGATAAATAAAGTAATACAGACTATTGGAAAAAAATCCCTGAATAAGTGTAAGAAGTTATTTAGGAGACTATGGGGGGAAAAAAGTATTCTTTAACTACAGTATTGAGCTAATTACAGGACAGTATTTTTTTATGTACATAGAAGGCAAATATGACACAGAGATAAATAGTTCTAGATCTAGTTAAGTGTTTTAGAGTAATGTTTAAAGTTCAGTGATGAGGCAATATGCCTATTTCTAAAACTAATTTAGCTATTTTTCACAGTTCCAGTTATTTACTAACACACACATAACATAAATGATCGGTTAAACAGAGTCCTTAAGTTGTCTGTCAGTTTCTTGGATGTTATTTTATTCAGTCCTTTGGCCAAATCACTATTACATCAGGTTGATACTTTAGACTTTGTGTCTGGTTGAATAAGATGAGCTTTAGCTGATCAAGGTGATTGCAAGTCAGGAGTTGTACTGAGCAGATCCCTCCAGAACACTAGCGCATGTTTTCGGGCTTGAAAATGCAACAAGTTGCAGATGTGTGTTTATATGCCTGGCAGATGAAGTCTTTATAGACTATACAATATGTAATTCACATAATGCAAAAGCATTTAGAAATCTGCTGGTCGAATCATCATCGTTGTGGCTTTGAGAGAGTATCCTGAGCCTTTCCAGTAGTACCACTTGATACCGTTGAACTTGTTGTTGTTCTGTCGTAATGGGTAATACATTCCATTGAGGTTAGAAGGACCACATGCATCAAACCACCATCCTGCCAGACAGAAAACAAAGAAAAATATCAGCAGGGGCAATTTCCAAACTAGTACATAAGGACACTTAGTCGTCCTGAAATGAGAAAGAAATCTAAAGGCAGTTTTTCATTCTCATGATTTGGATGTGTCAGTATAAAATACTTGCCTCAAACTCAGAAAAGGAATGTATTTATCTATTAACTACATATTCTTGAAGCTTATGCACTATGTTGTAGTTTAAAATTGAGAAGGAAAGGTGTTCAATTAAGCTTAATTTATTATCAACACCAAACATTATTGTTAACAGTCTGAGGACAGAACTTGAACTATAATGATATAGAGTCATCTTTGGTTTTTATCTGCTCTTCAGTAAATTCCTGTTCTTCACAGATTTGAATTCCTTTCTTAATTCTTTTTAGAAGATTAATTCAGTTAGCTGTTTGAGTTCTCTGTGTACATCAGTTCAAAAACTCTGAAACTTGGTAAGAAGGAAAAGGAAAAGAGCAGCCCAAACTTATTTTGTATCCTTACAGTCCTGACCTGTTAGTGGGTCATAAGGAAAATTTATTTTTATTAATAAGATAATATTTTTATACTTCTGTTGTGATGGCGATAATGTGTTTGTTCTGTTTTGCAGGGCAGTGATCCAATTTATCCTTTTGGATAAACTGAAGCTGTCTTTTGTCTTGCAACTTGTGCTATAGGGAAATGAACCATTGCTTAAGAGATAACAGGAACAGAAGTCAAATTTACAAAGCAGTTGTTTGCCTTTCAGAATGTGGAATTCTAGACTGAAAAATTACAAAATGGCTTGTGTGGTTCAAGAGATACCTCCTAAAGCTCCAATAACTAGTGAACAATTATGAGAAAAACATAGATATCTCATATATGCGGTGTATCTTTGCCATTTCATATTTATATTGAAATATGGATTAAATATTTGTATCCTTCTGTGGCATGTACAGTATACATCAGCTTTTGAGGACTTTCTTCTCCTCTGGGTAATTAGGGAAAGGATTTGTGCCTAAAGAATCAACAGCCATTTCCCGGAAACTGAATCTCTAAAATTATTTTTTGAGGGAAAGTAAAGTGTTTTGATCTCTGAATGTTAATCTCATTTTCTGGAAGCATCAGTTGTCTCTCTGATAAGTTCCACAACTACGGACTTTCTTGTACCCCAGCTTTATAGGCTTTTTTCACCCTAGTTTTAACTTCTCTCGTTTTACTTTAACTAACCTTTGTCAAATGATAAAATATTTCATTTGGAGTCACCGTACTAGAGTTTCTATCTGTGAGTTTTGGACTTCTTCAACAGTCAAAATTTACTAAGTCAAAATTATCACTAGTTATCTCACAGACCATTTCAGTGCCAATAAAAATAGGAAGACTGAGAAACAAAAAAACATTCCTACCTCCTGTTAGCATTTGTGAACATTTGCAAATACATTTGTCATTGTCTGCATCCTTTGTGCTAAAATCATTTCCTGGTTGGCTTATACTACTTATTTTGCCCGCTGTCCCAGTAAGTCCTTTAAGGTAGATCCTGTAAGAAGGAATGGAAAAACAATTATTACATCAAAGTTAATGGTAGTTTATCTGTAAAATAACGATGGAATAGTTTGCAATAAGTATGCTGTTCAAATAGCTTGAGTTCTCTTCTGGCCAGTGTACTGTTGTAAGCTGTTTTGCAGCATAATGTTTTCATGTGAGCAGAAATGATCATCAGTAATATTTGAATGAGCAGCCTCCGTGTTTGTAGAGATGACTGCTTTGTTCATGTTGTATTAGAAGAAAATGAGACCAGGTAGATTATGACTCCAGTAATTTTTTATAAAG